GTTTCATGCTTAAAAAAATTGCCTGGTTTAAGCATGAAATAGTCTGTCACCTCTGGCTCTTGATTTCAATGTCCACTTTTATATTTATTTACGCTCTATCGGATATTGGGCATTTTTAAACTATAAATATAACATAGCTTAAAAAAATATTTTTTATATATATATATATATATATATATATATATATATATATATATATATATGAAAAAAGACAAAGAAAAACTTAACCGACGCGTTTCCTTTCATCATTTGCCTTGATAAAGTCCCTCGGCTAAGTTTTCGTTTTGTCTTTATTCATATGCCCTTTTCAGATATGCTCTATCTTAATTTAAACACACACACGTACGCACGTATATATATATATATATATATATATATATATATATATATATATATATATATATATATATATATATATATATAAAGACACAATTAGTAAATTTTAGCCAAGTTCAGGGATCCTAAAATTGACGATTCATCTACTCTGTTTACGCGGCGTTTCCCTTGTCTCATCGAACATGCCAGACATTTTCAAAATTAGCCCTCCAGTAAATATATTTTTCTCTTTTTTGTTCATGTGTCTTTTGTTGAAGCCATTTCTCAACAGAGCAGGGGTTGAGAGATGGTAAAAAATGAGAGAATGTTAAAGAATGGGAGATGGTAAAGAAAGATAAATGATAATGCATGACAGATGGTAAAGAATGAGAGATGGTCAAAATGTGAGGTGCTAAAGAATGAGAGATGGTAAAGAATGAGATAGTAAAAAATGAGAGATGATAAAGAAAGAGAGATCCTAGAGAATGAGAGATGGTAAAAGTTGAGAAATGGTAAAAATGTGAAATGGAAAAGAATGAGAGATGGTAAAAATGTGAGGTGGTAAACAATGAGAGATTGTGAAGAATGAGAGATGGTAAAGAATGTGGGATGATAAAGAATGAAAAAAATGGTTAAAAAAAAAAAAACAGGACATGAGTGATGGTAAAGAGGTAACCATTCCTTAGAACAAGAAAAGACAAGAAAATGAGGAAAGCCACAATTGACCCTCACCTGAAAGCACATGGTACATAAGAGAAGAAATAAGTGACCATTTAAAATTAAAATATCCTTTTGTATTCGTTTGTTACAAAAGAGTTGATTTGAATGTTATAACAATCGAATCGTCTAGTATATAATACACAAAATATGTAATTTGGGATCTATGACATAATAAGCAGTTTTCAGGTGTAAACTAGTGCCATGAAGCAGCCAACAATCAAAGACTTTTCTATCTACCTAACTCCGTCTGTTCAGATCTATCTGTCTATCTATCTATCTATCTCTCTCTCTCTCTCTCTCTCTATATATATATATATATATATATATATATATATGACTCTCTTCTCCATCTATCTATTTATCTTTTTCAATCTGTTCATGTTTATCTATCTATCTATCTATCTATCTATCTCTCTCTCTCTGTTCATGTTCTCTTCTCCATCTATCTATCTATCTATCTATCTATCTATCTATCTATCTATCTCTCTCTCTCTCTCTATATATATATATATATATATATATATATATATATATATATATATATGACTCTCTTCTCCATCTATCTATTTATCTTTTTCAATCTGTTCATGTTTATCTATCTATCTATCTATCTATCTATCTATCTATCTATCTATCTATCTCTCTCTCTCTCTGTATATATATATATATATATATATATATATATATATATATATGACTCTCTTCTCCATCTATCTATTTATCTTTTTTTCAATCTGTTCATGTTTATCTATCTATCTATCTATCTATCTATCTATCTATCTATCTATCTCTCTCTCTCTCTATATATATATATATATATATATATATATATATATATATATATCTGTTATCTTTTCAATCTGTTCTGTTTATCTATTTTATCTATCTATTTCTATCTATCTATCTATCTCTCATCTATATATATATATATATATATATATATATATATATATATATATATATACTCTCTTCTCCATCTATCTATTTATCTTTTCAATCTATCTATCTATCTATCTAGCTATCTATCTATCCGATCTAGTCTGTTCACAAATATCTGCATATCTATATCATGTCTATATCAGTCTGTTCTTATCATCTATCTCAAAATCTGACTCAGTCTGTTCAGTTCTATCTATTTTTTTAAATTTCAACTTAATCTGTCATAATACACTCAATATTAATATATACATATATGCGTGCATGTGTGTGTGTGTGTGAGTTCTTAAAAATAGCTTATATATATGTGTGTATATATATATATATATATATGTGTGTGTGTGTGTGTTGCATATATATATATATATATATATATATAGAGAGAGAGAGAGACATATATATGTATGTATATATGTATGTATATATTTATGTATAAGGTATAGAGAGATAGTGAGAAAGAGAGACTGTTTATATTTCCAAACGTTTTAGTTTTTCTGATTTTTGCTTCTCTTTCCCTGTAAATCTGTGACATTTTTCATAAAAATAATCATATTTTCCTTAAAAGACGTTATTTGATCTCGTCAACTTACACGAATTTGTTCAGTTATATGAAATGGAGAATTTTTTGTACATAATCTGCAGTTAAATAATGATGCGAATTTTGTGGTAATTTATATGTGTAACTAAATGTGTTCATTTTTAACTACTGATTATAATTAAAACATTTCTGTACATATAAATAGACAAATAGTCAATAAAATTGATTGCCTAAAATAAATCGAATTTTACCACCAAGTATACTGAAAACTGTATCCAATTCCATGAAATTAGTTACAAGATAAATAAACATTTAATTTTATTTATTTTAATTATAATAAGAATTCTGAAAGATAACGTTTTTACGATAAACATTCTTTGTAATAATAATGCTCAATAATAATAATAATAATAATAATAATAAACCTGTAATAATAATAAAGCTTCAACATTATTAAATGGGAGTTGAATGATATTAAAATATCGGACGTCAAAACTAGAAAAAAAAAGCTTACCCAAATGAGGATTCACTGCCCGAAATCAGATATTGATAGGCTGTACGTAGGAAGAGCTTTAGGAGGCTGAGGTCTAATCCAACTTGAACTAACTCTAAAAACTACAACAATCGGATTGGAAGGCTACCTCACAAAAACCAATGACCCTCTCCTACAAATAATAAAACACCAAATCCACTCCATCAATAAAGGAGCTACACTCTTCAAGAAACAGCTTAATGTACCTGAAATACTACCAACAAAAAACGAAGTGAGTACTATTTACGCCAAAAGAGTAAAACAGAAAGCAAAACAACTTGGCCAATGAAATTACAAAAAAAAGAAAGAAAGAAAGAAAGAAAGAAAAAACTGTGAGGAGAAGACATATACATAAAAAGAAGGAAAGAATCAAATGTGAACCAACATAAAGCACATCAGGGCTGAGGAGCACCGGGCTGAAAGGTGAGACAGAAGGCCTAATTATTTGCAGCTCAGGACCAAAGCCTTACAATCAGATCATAATCACTGTCACATAATCAAGGATGGAACTAAAACGAAATTCAGGATCTGCAGAAAATAGGATGAAACTTCGACCATATTATCTGACAACTGACAAAAAAATGAATCTACCCACAGACATAACAAGGTAACGACATATGTGCAGTGGAAGATATGCAAGAAGCACAAAATCGAAACCACTGAGAAATTGTACGAAAACTAACCAGACACAGTTACCCAAAATAACGATGTAACTATCCCCTGGGACATGCTAATTCAAACTGAGAGGGAAATAAATGCCAACAGACCTGATATTGTCATAAAAGACAAGAAATTCAGAAAGTGTTTGCTTATTGATATAACAGTACTATTTGCGAGAAACACCTCGTGAAAATTATTGAGACATCCTCCAAATACAAGGACCTGGAGATCGAGATTAGCAGGATGTGAGGAATGAAGACCGACTGTACCAATAGTAATCGGAGGTCTGGATCTCGTAAGAAAAGGAATCTACAAAACTTACTAAGAGTGTCCCAGATAATATCAACATACAAATTGTCCAGAATATCGCCCTACTAGGAACATCCCATATACTAAGAGAAGTGCTAGCCATTAAATGAAAATTCTCCTTTTGGGCATAAGGACCATAGTTTGAACCCGGCTCTACAGGATACAACACAGGGGACATAACATACACAAATAATAATAATTATTATTATTATTATTAACATTATTATTATTATTATTATTATTATTATTATTCATATCGAGCATTATATGAGGTGAGAAGATGCATCCTTGTCTTACACCGCTTTTTTTTATTTTTTACTTACTGAATTCATTTTCTGTCCGCATGTAGGCGTTTTGCTCGCAGTATATATTCTGGATAATTCTATTTTCTCTTACAAATAAAACAAGTTTTCCTTTCAGTTCAAATAGATCCTCATTTTGTATAGCCCCTCCCCCCCTCTCATGCTGGGAGGTCTTGGGCGATGGCGCCAATTCGATAATAAAGATGCATGCTTCTCTTGCAGCCGGTGATCGCCAGTTGTTTTGAGTCCAGAGATGAAAGAACTTCAACGCAGGGAATTTTAAACTTAACTATTTTATTAACGTTTATGTCTACATGTTCTTCTCTCTCACTCCAGTGGGTGTCGTTTCCCCACCCCCTCACTGGGGAGCCGGTTCGTTTGACGGTTAAGACTCGACGCTCTGAAATCTCTCCTATCTCCTTTCCCGCTGGCTCCACCAATCAAAATCGACTTCCAGATTTATGACTTGTATCTGATACCGAAGCTCAACCCCCGGAAGTCGCAGCTGAGATGCTATTCCCCTTTAAATATAGTAGTCTGCTAAACTATTATAATAATTAATCTGCCAAACTATTATTCAACAATATGGGCCTTAAAATCAGGAATGAAAATGTGGTTTACGTGGCTTACGTGCCATTATTCATGTATCACCTCGTGGACAGAATCTTAAAAATACCTAAAGCTTCAGGTCACATCACGTTGAAACACATATTTCTGTACGAACACCGAAGTTAAGCAACGTCGAGCCTGGCTAATACCTAGATGGATGACCGCTTGGGAATACCAGGTGTTGTAAGCTTATATGTGTGCACAGTGTAATACCTAATGACTCGGAAATGTTAATCAGAGAGCTGTTCCAATTCCTGTTGGGTTCGTTATATTCCTTACGCAAATATAAATATATATATATATATATATATATATATATATATATATATATATATATATAATACAATTTCGAAAATTTTTACTTTGATGTTTCGCTGATGACCAGGCGTCTTCAGAGAAAAGAATCTTATTCCATGCAAACCCAATCTACTTTTGGCGAGACAAAATGGTATTCACGTTAACCAACTAAATGTTTCATTTTTTAGTTTAAATGTATCGTTTCCTTTTAGAAATCATTTCCCATTAATCAAGGTGACAAAAACTATTCAGATACAATGGATTAGTGACAGGAAATAAACAGAGTTCAATAAAAGAACAAGATTCAAGGAGATAAAGAATTTATATATCTTTTTCATATATATATATATATATATATATATATATATATATATATATATATATATATATATATATATATTATAATGTGTGTTTGTGTACTTGACCAAAACAGAAAAGAAAATTAATTTTAGGCCTAATATACAGCATCTTATTCGGAAACTAGAAAAATATAATTAGACATTCCTTGTCATTTGAAGTTGACAAAGTTAAACTGATTCAATTTCAGCGATATCAGATCATCGGGATATAGTCAACAAAACTTTGTTTACCATACTAATAACACCCAGTTCTTGATAATGACTGAGATAGTCGAAAGTGATTGAAAAAAAGAAGAAAAAAAATTCCCTTTCAAACAGTTTATTCTTAATTTCGATCCTGAGATACAACCTATTCGGAAATTGTATATCTATATATATTTCATGTCTGTTTCATTCTTGAACGCAATCTTCAGACCATGGCTATTATGTTTTGGCGCAACTATTCAGATATGCTGGGCAATGGTGCATTATGGGTAGCAATGTCTATTGTATTATATTGATGGTTATTGGGTTGGGAGTAACAATTATATTCCAAATTATTCTAGAGGCTATTAAGTAGAAATATTTGTGAACTCGAAAGCGCTTATTTGTAGCTATTTTATAGTGTTGTTTGTTAACTTTGTTTACTTAATTATTTGTTGTTGGTTACTATTATTAAAATTACCAGTGTTTTGTGGGCTTTTCTACTTTATTATCAATTAAGTTGTTTATTTATTTCGATATATAATAATAATAATGTGTCAGAGTCCCGCGATACTGGAAGAAGTGGAGGAGGCGAAGGGAAGAAGGGCTCCCTAGGTAGGTTAACTAAGGAGAAGGGAGCCCTATAGACTGACAGAGCCGAGGCCGGTTTTGAATTCAGAGTTTTTCCTTCTCCTCGACTGGTTGCCACCCAGTCAGTCCTGCTATTTACTCATAGCTGGGTTTGGAGAAGAAGTGGATTCATACTTTTAGCACGTAAGTGAATGTAATGAATTTGACTGGAGTTCGAACTCGGCTCTCCGATTCCTCAATCCGAGCCGCTATTCATTACTCCACCGTGGCTCCTAAATGGTGCTTATTTTTACAGACTAAGCTAACATTAGCATAGATAGATAGATAGATAGATAGATAGATAGATAGATAGATAGATAGATAGATAGATAGATAGATAGATAGATAGATAGATAATCTACAATGAAATTCACTCGCAATCCAGAAATGATTTAAATTCATCCATTCATTTACACCACGGCATTAGATTGGAGATATAAACAGGCTATGATAGATAGATAGACAGATAGATAGATAGATAGATAGATAATCGAGAATGGAATTCACTCGCACTCCAAAAATGATATGAACAAAACGAGACAGATATATAGATAGACAGAGAGAGAGAGAGAGAGAGAAGAACAGATAGATATTTTAGAATGAAATTCACTTCACGCGTAAGAAATGAATTAAATCCTCCCCCTCAGTTAAGGACTGGTCCCCGAGATGCCCCCCTCCCTCTGTTCAGCGAGTGGCTTATTCACCTCTCTAAATCGCTCACAATAAATTCAACACACTACGAACCTATTCTTTGAGTATAACTTACCTTAACTCTTGAATTGTGACAATCTTTTTTATTCTGATTTTTCAGTGCGCCATATTCATTGCAGAAATTTGTTCTAATTTAAGCGAAAAATTGTTCAATACGTTAAACAGTCGACCTTATTTCCCAGGAAACGGATATCCTTATGTATTTAATGCTCCTAGTTTGAACCTTATCCAACAAACTGAATGTTGTCTATCATATTAAAGCCCTAAAATTCGCCCTATTTATAAACAGTGTTCAAATAACTTGGACCGATTTTAAATGTGAATTAAGTTTAAGCATCTAAAATTTTTTGCTTTGTTTTGTTTTTCTTTCAGATTTAACAACTAAAGCAATTTCAAACA